ACCAAAGTGCTGTACATTGCAATAAACAATATATATTAAAAACACAACCCACAAGCACAAACAAAATCAACACCAATATAAAAACATGAATCAATAAAAATAAATAAAATCAATACCAACATAAAGTATCAAAATGCCAATGAAAATAAATGAGTTTTTAAAAGAGACTTAAAAACAGACAGAGAAGAAGCTTGTCTGATGGGCAGCGGTAAATCATTCCAAAGTTTGGGACCAGCGACTGCAAAGGCCCGATCACCTCTAAGCTTACGCTTAGTTCTAGGCATGCTCAAAAGAAGCTGATTGGCTGACCTACTACCTTCTGGTAGTAGAATTCCCTCAGTTCTGACTACCTTTCCTCTCCTTGTTACCGTTCGACCACACTTATCTAGTCCGAAATACATTCCGATGTCCTGGCTGTAGATTCTAGTGGTGTGGATCAGCGATTCGATGTCTTGTTCACTCCTCTCATACAGCTTGATGTCATCCATGTAGAGGAGGTGTCTGATGGTTGCTCCATTCTGTAGTTGGTATCCGTAACCACTCTTGGTGATGATCTGGCTCAGGGGGTTCAGCCCTATGCAGAACAGCAGCGGGGACAGAGCATCTCCTTGGTAGATACCGCACTTGATGTTGACTTGTGCAGTTGGCTTGAAGTTGGCCTCTAGGGTTGTTTTCCACATTCCCATTGAGTTCTTGATGAAGGCTCTTAGAGTCCTCTCGATATTGTACAGTTCCTGTATATATATGTATATGTGTGTGTGTGTGTATTTATACATAGGTGTGAATTTAAATAAATGCTTTGAAGAAAAGGATGCAACATAATGCAAAATAGACAAGCAGAGCAAAGTAAAGTAATAAAGTAGCAAATGTGCAATGTAATGAACTGACAGCATGAACACAAATGTAAAGCTTTTCATTTACACCAGTAAGAATAGATGCAATTTATTACTTCCACCCTTGTACCTTTGTGAATATCTGAGTGGCTTTTTTTTTGAAGAGGTGTGAGACAGAGATGCCATGCTATGCCATGCTGGAGGTGATGCACAAGAGACCACCTTAATGAATGTAAGCAGGATGTGACTCTCCACAGGAGATTAGGCAGGAGATAAGAAATGGCAGTGAATCAAGAGGATCACTGCCACAATGTGAAAATGTCTAAGGGGCAATTTGGGTTTGTGGCCACAGAGGCTTTATCTACGTATGTATAAAAATTTTAAATTAAAAAAGGGCTTGTGCATGTGCCTGTATGTGTGTGCATGTAATGGAATTTTACACAATTGGACCAAATGGAAGGTGTTTCAAAAAACATGACTCTTCTAGATTTAGCTGTGTAATTTTGCAGTGTGCACTCTAGTTGAGAATACTTGTACACCTGACAGTGTGTAGAGTGGATAATGTGTTTGCTGACTTTCATCCCACCTATAATTTTGGAAACTGCTTAAAAACAAAAACAAACTAATAAAAAAAGCTACAGAGTTGCAATGTTTTAAACACCTCACTCACTCTAAGGAAATGGATGGATGGATGGATTTGTACATTTTCACTCATTTTAATCGTGCATCATGCGCAGACTCATTTTTGCCTCATTCTTGTATATATTCTACTTCCTGCTGCTATAACAAAACATCTTCCCATAGATAGCTGAAGTAAAAGTTCATGAAAATTATAATCAATGAAACACTTCAATAGAAGAGAAAATGCCTCCTGATGTCATAAAGATTTAATGGCAATAAAGAAGGAGACCATTTGAGAAACAAACATCTGACAGGATTTTTGGTTCAGTTGGTAAGTTTGTTGAAGCAGGAGTGCACAGTGGTGCTTACCTCATCATAGTAGATTCTGAAGTCAGCCTTCTTGCTCCGGAGGTCCCATTGTACAATCGTCCCACTCTCAAACCCTATGAGCAGCTGCAGATGGATGTGAAAGGAAATGGATAATCAAGAAGTGATGATATATATATTTATATATATGAGCAGAGCATAAATCAATGGCACCAATGTAATTTCATTTTATGGCACTCATTGCTGTAATGTAGGGGAGCCTGTAGCTCCCTCTACAAAAGACTTTGTGTTCCTTCTCCTTCCTCTGGGATATATCAGATCGTTTCACACCTTCAACGTTACTTTTGTTGTCACCACAGCAAAGAATGATTTGGAATCTGGCTTTTAACATTCGTAGTCATTGCACGCACACCTTTCACTACACATCATTTAACAGCACCATAAGCAGTAAGCTAGGTTGGAAGATGGAAGTGCCTAGAATAGAATAGAATAAGAATAGGCGGTCAGTCTTGCCAAGTAATACCAACTTTGAAATTTTGCTCTTCCATTTTTGGTGATGTTTGTACCCTCTAGCAGACCAAACAGCAGGCAGCTACAAATCAGATCAACTGATCAGCATGTAGGACACGCCACCCCACACATTGTGTAGTCAAGATTGGGAGATGTGCACGTTGGTCCATCTGCAACCATCAGTGATCTACATTTACCCATAAACATCTTTGGAGATTTGGGAGATGTGCACGTTGGCCCATCTGCAACCATCAGCGATCTACATTTACCCATAAACATCTTTGCTGCGTATGTACATGTTGACGCCTATGGGAAGTTTCAGACAAGTATAAATTAAGCTTTACTACTGAATAGTTTCTTGTAATTTTCTAAGCTGCTAGGAAGCTGATACTGTAGATTATTTATTTGTCACAACTTGAAGGGAATATTAAGCACCAAAGGCCTTGATAAATAAAAATGTGTATGATTCTGTAGTCCCTTCTCTTTGCATCCTGGCCACTGCATTTTAAAAATTAAGTTTTTACTCTTTCAGGGAAGCAACATTAATACCTCAAAGTAATTTTTCATAAACGCTGCATGTAGCATTTTCTTTTCTTGCAGTGAAGGACAGCAGTGTGTCAAAGCAGCTATAAAAAATTGTATCTTGTTCTTATGTCTTCACAGCTTGTCAAGTCTGGTTTGACCCAGAGGCAGTGAAATCCACTGGGAAAATCAATATGCTCCTTAATGACCTCTCTTTCACAACAACCTCCACCTGCCATTTTTCCTGCCAATTTGAATGCAGCTTGACCCTGAAAAACACAGCTTCCCTCAAAGGATATTACCTTCAAAGGCTACACAGCTTTTTTTTCTTTTGTGTGTATATGTTAAAAGCCGAGGGGCAGAGAAAATGGACATGAGAGCAACAACAGGAGAGACGCTGAAAAGAGAATGGTTTTCTTTTAGTAAGCGAGAAAGAAAGTCAAGCAGAGACAGAATGAGAGGTGAGCAATTAGACAAAGGAGGGTAAAACAGGGGAAGCAGAGGGAGGTTGGGAGGGGGGACACAGGGGACTGAAAAAAATAAATGGCAGACATTTAACTAGAGGCAAAGATTGGGAAAAAAGGAGAGAGCCTGTTTTCAATTGTAGTAATGCTAGAGGTGCTTTAGGAGAACCAGAAGCTTCTGCCTGTGTTTCTTTTATCTGTCTACTCACCTTGCCTTCATCCTTTGGGCTGTCGCTCAAATGAACCACAGGTCCTGGATGAGTTTTAGTTGAGCTGTGATGAGAGGGGAAAGATAAGGAGCGCAGAGAGGACACAGAAGATGGCAGTTCAGAACACAAGCATATTGCATACTAACATAAGTAGTGTGACATTTATAGGTCCTCTATGGATGTAACATACCCATTGACTGTGTTGAATTAGCTTTTAGCAGGGAACAACAACAACAACCAATATGTATGCCAGTGATTTCCCAGATTATCCAAACACTCTACTGAAATCAACTGTTACACACACACACACACACACACACACACACAAACCTGCTCATGGATTCATTATCAGCTACAGCAAGACAGACCCATCAGGCAGACCGTTAAATATACAGTACATTTTTGCCTCCGTGGTGATGCAGGCATTAGTCTGTAATATACAGTACATTCCATTGTGTATTTATTTGAAATATCCGGTTGGCACATTAGGAAGTCCGGTGACACACAGGGATAATTAAGAGCTGCACAAAGGGCTCCACTTCACTGCACTCTTGAAAGCCAGCAGCTTCCCTGCGTTTTGATATATGTAAAGTCATTTCTATTTCTTGCTCTTATTCAAGACCTAAACAACCTGCACCCCCACCGTGTCACAGTCACTGCCACTTCTACCTGTTACTGCAGCATTAATCAGACCAAGAGAAACTTCTGTGGAAGAAAGTGAGTAAGTGCATTTAAGTATGTTATTTAAGTAATTCTGAGGTGCTTGTACTTTACTTGACTATTTTCATTTTCTTGCTAGTTTACCCACAGTTCAGTGGCAAATAATGTACTTTTACTTCACTACATGCATTTGGTAGATTTTTTAAATTACTAAAAGAGAATATAACTGAAAATATAAAATGATTTCACAGTTTATAAAGTTATTTAAATTAGCTCTAGCTTTATCGGATGTCGCATTAAAGTGATGTACTGTACATGTAAATGCATCAATAATTATAGTCCAGTAATATAACATACATTATTCTGAAATAGACCATCAATCAGTATATCTGCTTTTTGTACTTTAAGCATATTTTCAGTTCAATTCAATTTTATTTCTATATCACAAAATCAAAACAACAGTCATCCCAGGAAACTTCTTTAATAGGCTATACGTACACCATAATATTTGAATATATACCCCCATACTTAGAAACTACATACAGTACATTCAGGATGATTCTTCCAAATGAAGGCTTTTTTGTGTGGCACCTATCATATAGGTAAAATGTAATTTTAGAATAGGTACACTGTACTCAGAAAACACAGTATAATTACATTTCAAGTATCCATTACTCCTCAGACGCTGCATGTTGGTCCCCTGGACTTACGTATATGTATCTGTACATACTGTACAGGTAGGCCATTATTACACAGAATGGCGTTCTAAATGCAGGCTACGTACGGTGGAAGTTGCGAACTGTAAAATAAAGCATAAACAAAACTTGAAGAATTCATTTTATTACTGTTTTCCACTGAATCCTAGATCCCAGCAACTGAACACAGGTCACTTGCTCAGCACTGAACTTAACTGTAGCAGCCACAGTTATGATACTTTAGTGGCACAGTGGCTGAAATGTGAGCCAATATGGCAAGCGAAGGTAGCATGTGACTGATACATTGAGACGAGGCCTGCTGCTGAAGGGTGACAAACACTAAACTACAGCAAGCTCTCATTACATTTCTATCCTACAGTTTAAGTAGTAAAAAGCCATGTTATCAACAAACCATCCACACTACACAATACCTGTTCAGTCACTGAAGAGCCACAATGGGGGGACGCCAAAAATTAATCTTGCTACACCAGCCTTCCACAGCAAATAATACACTAAGCTGGCATACACACATTTGCACCTTTGACCCCACACCTATTGTTGTACATTGACAAACTAACACCATACACACACACACACACGGATATGCTGTGCCAGTCGTGGATGATATCAATTTCTTTTGAATTCTTTTGGAGTTTATTAGTATAAAAACAAGTTATGTTGCTGCAGAGAAACATTTGTAACAGTCACTGAATTCTGGATACAGTGGGCTGTGACTAAAGATGTAGGTTCACTCACTATTAACAGTATATGTGGAAGGTCATTTTCTTAGGCTGGAGAAAGCCTTCATAGTGTGGAGACAAATGCTATAAGAAATATGATAAGTCACCAACTGACTTAGTGACTTTTAAAGAAATAAAGCTAGTCTTTCATTTGACAAGGCCAGTCTATGAAATGCACACAAAGCAAGTGAAAATGTTTTCATAAATGAGTACACCGATGAATGGGTACAGCAATATGTTCTGAAAGATTGTGAGACTATATATCAGGATTTCTGCAGGGTTCTCTGAATTCAGGACCTTTTAAATACCACACAGGCTGCAATTTAATACATCCTTTACAGTCAACCAGGACAAAGCAAAATAAAACTATGATTGAAAACCAGAAGGGACAATATAACCTAGAAATATTTATTACCATGGTCCAATTTTTATTCCTACTGATATACTTAATGACGCTTTCTTTAACTACATGGAAGAACTGCTTCTGTAACTTGCAGCAGTATTTGCTACAGATCTGATGGCGGTGACTGAACGTGGTTCAACAGCCACTTGCAACACAATCCACTGTCATACCAGTCTCATTGGTATAAGTATATACGGTCTTATGGCAGCAATCTTAGCAATGAATGCATTCCATAATTTTTGTTTCGAAACACTTCATAAAATAAATAAAAGCAATCATGCATAAATGATCCAATTTAATGCGATTTCTGTGCCTGTCTTTGGCGGTGGTAGCTACACGACAGAAAGCCTTTAACACAACCAGCTCAAATGAAATGGTAATGCTGGTGAAATGTGTTTTAGGGCAGCAAGCTTAATATGATGATTCTGTTCCTGTCCAGAAATGTGGCGTTGACCAAAGTAGTTGGGCTAAAAAATCTCAAAGGCATGAGTATACCATGTTAAAACTTGTTAAACAAGCCTGGCTGTTCCTGTTGGGTATCAGGGGATTTGAAAAATAGCCTAGTTTCTCTGCTTTTTGCCCAGTGAAGTTTGATTCATATACACTGAACATGTGTATATGAACACTAAATGATGAAAACTGATTGTATGAGGCAGAACATTGAATGAAAGAAGTAAAAAAAAAATTTTATTAGGATCTTTTTTTGCAGTAATAACTGCAAATGCCTTTGAAATCCCAAACACAAATGCAAAGTAACCATGAGCTCCAACAAGACCAGCGGAGCCATGGTAATCCATCATCATTAGGAAAGAGGAAAAAACAGGAGGTGAAGCTTGTGAGCCGGCAGTGGTCAGCGGCAAGCAACCAGGTAATTCAGGCAAAGGCAAAGTTTAAATACACACAGAAGGTCAATAGACAACGTGCCAGAATGTAGATGGAAATGGGCCAGCGTGTATACTGTAAAGTAATAGGATGCTAATGGGGAAATATGGAACAGATGCACGAGCAAGTGGGTTGGGAAGAATCAGGTAACTGAGAATGAAAAAAGTATTTGAATTGAGAATGACAGGAGAAGACAGAAAGAAAGGTCAAAATACACAAGGCTGTGACAGTTATCGTGACTAAAATCAAGAAAGCTCTTTTGATTTTTGTCCTCTTTGCTAACCACCAGAAATACACACACACACATCGGTATATGCTTACCATTCGGGCAAGGACTTTATCTTTTGTGCTTGGTGTTTGTTATGTAGTACTGACTGTATGGTTAACACCTTTACTGTGAAATAAGCCCTGCTATATTTTAATGAATTATTTCACTACTTATATGATATATTATTAATTAAAATTCCAAGGTTTGTGTTTAATCAATTTGCATATTTTGGTGCATTCATCCTTTGATCAATACAGAGTGTAGCTTTTATTAAGGAAGACTTTCATTCCCTTCTCCGCCTGGCTAAATCACAGATTTTATTTTAAGGATTAGATGCACACTGGGCTTCCAAGACTTTATTTCTGAACAAACAGAGAGATCTCAACACTGTATTAACTAGGACAGGGAATGAGGAATCATACTGTCCACGTCCTGAATATTATCAGGCTAATATTCACCCAAGTATGAACGTGCAGTAAATAACATCGCAGGGTTATGGTCTAGCATTAGAGGTTGACATTAGTGACATTATCTCCTCGTGTCTTTGTTTTCTATTCCTCCTTTCTGCCTCTGATGTCCTATGCAATCAGCATAATGATTTTGTGGAGCCAGACTGAGCACTGACATGATTTCCCTCCCCATGGATTTTGAATTTCCTTAGAACACACACACACACACACACACATGCATATAGAAACACAGAAAAAAAAGAAAAGAAATATGAGATGCACTATATATAATGCACTTTAGCTCACTATAGATATTCCCTTGAAAAACTGGGGGTGGAATGGGGCATAAGTCAGGCTTAAAGTGTAATACCTCACTGCTTTTATTAAATTTTATTTATTTGGTTTTCTTTAACCTGAATACATGACATTTAGACAGGTTAGCTGTGGATTTCATGACTTATTCACTTTGTCTCCACGGTGCTCCACAGCTCAGAAACAATGCCCTTACTGATCCTTTTGACTTGTATCAGCAGGTGATTTTCCATCATGCCTGCCACATCAGTCAGGCCATGAAACTTAAATGGCATAGACTGGAGAAGACAGCGTTGTCCCTCTTATGGTACGTTAAATGCAACAAAACTAAACAAATACATAATCGGGAGTTAGCCCAATAATAGAGCCAACCTTTTTAATACACTTGTTGATCTTGTTCCTATCATTAGCAGTAAAGTTGTTACCTCAACATACATAAAAACAAGGTACTAATCACAAAACTCTGATAAAAAGCTTAGGAATATCATAAGAAAGCTATTGGAATATGGTGTCCGTGAATGTTTTGCAGATACATAAAAAACATTTCCTGATCATAAAACACAAACAAAATATTAATCCAGACATTTAATTACTTACTAAATGAATTTGGAAACAGGGCTGCTGTTGCCATGTATTCCTGTTGTCACATATTGCATTTTAAGACATTCATTTTATAAACAATCTTAAAAGCAGAACTAGCCAAACATGCCAGTGCTGATTACAGCTGACATGATGCCAGGCATAAACACAATTCTGTTCATCAGCGCGATCTATGAACTGCATCAGAGTGAGCAATGGGCTGCTGTGTCTTCCCATTTCTCCTTGCATCTCATTTTTTATGTCAGTGTGGAATGAATCTCTTGAAGATGAAATTGTGAATTAAATATACTGCGAACCCATTTGAATTTCAATGAGCACCCGGCCCTCCTTTCTGGGAACAGCGGCCCCATTTGAATTGTTGCTATAACTGATTCTTTTCAAGAGAGCATAACTGCTGGGTGGTTTTTATGATTATACAAGACTTTATGTCTTATGGCTTATGCTAGAGTCTTACCAAGAGTGTCAACAGACAGACATAGAGGGGGAAAATGTGTGAGAAGTGCAACATAGTTGTGTATAGATCAAGCTCTTGACCATCAGTTATGGAACAATTAGAGCCTTGTTTTTATATGTATCTTACTTGTAGATGTGCTGAAACTTAAAATGTATTTTAAGTGACGTAAGTATCATGTAACCGTTGGGTAAAAATATGACTCATGACAGGACAATCTGTCCAATTTGCATACTCTCTGTGTTTAGTTGGTTTCGAGCTCCTCAATAAAGCCTGAACCGAAAATTCGATTTCTGGTCTGTTTCTTCATCCATCCATCCAAAATGAAAAAAGACACCCCTAACACACACACACACACTTTGGTTTCTATTAAATTAATGCATCTGTGAGTGGCTGTCACACAAACAAACTGTGATGATACAAATACACACAGAAACACACTGAATTTGAGTCACACGCTGCTGTTTGTACAAAGTGCAAAGAGGGGATGAGTTCTGCCTTGTTTGCTCAGTGTTCCCAGCAGGAAAAACAAAAACTCCCTGCACATCCCTATTCATATTTAGTGAAAAACCTCCACAGACAAAACATGACACCCCCCAGCCACTCTGAGTGTTTATTGTAAAAAAAAAAAATTCATTCTCTACTAGTTCGAGTTTTTATGAACTCCACTAGAAAGGTACAGAGTGCTGACAGCTAGAAAACCGAGGATACATTATAGCGTATGCTCCAAGAGAACATACTATGGAGTGTGTATTGTTCAAACAACACATTATTGTGATTGCCATCACTGCCTGATGTTTGTACAGAATCCAAATGGTATATATATTTAGCTCCTTTATTTATTTATTTATTTATCAGCCAGTTCGGTAAGTTAGTCAGCTGTCGCTTACAGGCCAGTGATAATAATGAACACCACACACTTTTTTGTTTCATAATGGTAGATGGGAATTTTTTTGTGGCCAGTACATACTATGAAAATCACCCACTCAGAATGTGAGTGAGAAATGATAAATACAGTGTATTATACAGTATAGCTTGATTAGTTTGATTAGTCATTCTTAAGTGCTAGGTTGAATTAGACATATTATGAGACATTGTTAAAGCTCACGATTAATGTAGTTGCTAGATAAGGGTTCAAACATTAATGTTACCCATTCAGTAAGTGGCCTTTGGTGAATGATATAGTGCATCTGCTTTGTTACAACAAAACCTATTGTTATACAATGTGTTGAGTTAAACATTTGAACACACCGTCACAGTCACTCAGTGCTCAAGTGCACTAGCAAAATCTATCAAACGCTAAAATGAAACTGGCTCTTATGAGGACTGCGCCAGGAAATAAAGACCAAGAACTACCCCTTCTGGACAGGATAATAGAAATAAAATTGACCTTATTTATTGACCTTGGCTTATTTTTCAGGTGTGAAGGGTGAAAAGGTATTAATCTAGAACAAAAAATAATAATAAAAACAAAGAAAATCCATTGAATGAGAAAGTGTGTGCAAACCTTTGACAGGTACTAGATTTTCTACATGTGGAAGTCTTCTTTTTTATTTCAGGTTACAGGTAGATGGTGCTGTGGAAAACCTGAATTATGTGTTCTTAAAAAGTCATTACTTAGAGAACAAAGTACAAATACTAACAACAACAATGCCCTTTCACACAGTTTAGACTTTTCAAGAAAATTCAAAAGTTCTGAATCAAAGTTCTGATCAACAAACCAAATCTCCTGCTAAACTCTCAACCACTGTCTCGGCCTCCGAGACTATAGCAGTGGTTGACAGACAGGCCTCCTACACATACACATCAGTGTTGTGACTACTCACCAGTTTGGGCTGTCACAAGGAAACAAGATGGCTCGATATGAGAGTGACTTGCAACTGACACTGCAAGAGGGGACTTGTCAGGGTAACACCACAAGAACAGCGCGTGGGTGGGTGAAACCAAGAGAAACAAACACACACACAATGCAGCTAAGCAGCATTTGTGTACTTGATGTTGCTTTTCATTGTCATTCTGCAGTGTATGTCAGCTACGCATTTGACATTTGCAACAAAGGACACATCAAAAAATTAATTAAGGCTTCTGCTGATAAGTAATATAAATGTATGAATGTTATATAACATGGTGAATGCCCTCTGCCATATGTAAAAAAACAAAATTTCTCAAAGTTTTATTGAAGAGTTGATTCACTATCAATATTTATTTTATTTCTTATACCGGTACATATTATGTTAAATATGAAATGCACCTTAATGATGACCATTGCCCCAGGATAGTTCATGGCTATGTTTGTCAAAGGAACATAACCATACTGACTGAGAAAGGTTCAGTCTAAAAAACAATTGCATGGCCACTTTTTTTTACTTAGACGTGGCTGAACAGTCCCGTATGAATGCACATAAGAATGGGCCCACATTAAGATTACAAGCACAAGAGCAATTCAACACCTAATCATTGTGAATACAAGGCCTATATCTAGGCTATCTGCAGTGGAGAAAGAGAAGCAGACAGGTTATTTCAGTGATTACCACAAAACAGGCATCCGCATTTTACTCACCCAGAGCCACAGTGAAACCTCTGTGGTGTTCACTGCTTTCCATACTGAACACATGAAAAGGTGAGCACAGAGAAATCTGGCAATCTTTAGTGTCTAGTTGTGAGATAGTAAATAACGACTGATGACATTTTATGGCGCAATATATTGCAAGACCACAAACACACTTAGTTACAAAATGAATACCGAGTTTAGCTGTCACAGAAATCACAGCTACAGAGATATTTGAAATTGCTTATGTATCCTCCCCCCCGATCTTATTTTGAGAAAAAGAACAAGACCCAGTAAATTGCCAAGGAATATTATGCTGCTATCTTCCAGCCTGGCCCATTGTCATCCACACCAGCCCCACTGTCATGTTGAAGCATTAGCTACTCACAGTTCTATGGCCTTGTTCCACATGATGATGTATCCAGACAAAACGAAGGACTCGATGTTTACGATGTGTGTGTTTCCGCGCTCTGTCCCCACATACAGCCATTTGCTCTGAAAGGGAAGGTGGCAAAAAGTGATCCTAGGAAAAAAAGGGAAGAAAATGAGTGTTAGAATATGAAGAGTGGCAGTACAGTCAAACAGTGTGTTCTGTGTATTCTCTAACAGTGCATTCTGGCACTTTTGTACATGTGCACATTGATCTACACCTGTTGCAGTTCATCTCTATGAAATTTAGGGTGAATTCTGCTTTCAGAAAAGCAATTTGTGTATCAGTTTACCAATAATGTTATGATTATGATAAGAATTAAATGCAGTTTTTAGTAATACGTAATTATTTGTGTGCAATCTGATGTAGTAAACTAAAAATATCAAGCAGCTAGTTTAATTTAAAATAGTGTTTCTTTCTTAAATACAAACAAAACACACTGTAGAGGCGTTCTGCAGAAATTACATTATTAGGTTTTTTTTATTATTATTTTCAAATTTTACTGATGTAAGTAATGTCTTTTAGTGGATCCATGGTTGGACACAGCATAAACACCTGTTAAAACAAATGGGGATTCACATGGACTAAGGGGCAATTAATTTGTGACACAGCTGTTGGAGAACAGAAAAGACAATTAAAACAGCATTCTAGTGTTTTTGCCACCTGTTTAGCAATGATGTTGGCATTCTCTAACTCTGCATATGTGGTGCACATGTCACCTGAGGGTCCGTACCATGACACTATCATAGTACTTGGACAATAATCCTAAGCCTCAGTGGTGATATGGCCCTTGTTCAAAGCAGTCATTTCATTTGCCACAATGCAGCACCTTACATAGAGGTATTATCATCTTCATTTGTTGTGTCCGTTCAGTTTCTACTCTTTCTTCTTTTGTCAGAGAACTTTAGCGCTCAGCCTGTAAGCTCACTTTGAGCCGTGTGCAGTAGTTATTCTAAGAACCCTTCAAAACAACTTCCAGAAGTAGTCTATTCTAGGCCCACTCCATGCAGTATGGGGTACTACTGTAGTCTGTGTGTTGGTTCTAACACTGCACTGAACTGAAAACACACAGACCATGTATGGAATACACGTGTCATGATAAAATTGATATTTGTTAAACAGCCATTTTTCCATGACCTCTTCCTGGCCTGGAAAAAACATGTTCCCCCTGACTTTTACATGTTTTTCATGACTGTATGAACTCTGATCAGTGCTATTTCATGTACTGTATTGCATGTTTGATAATAAATAAATAAGATTATAATATGATACAGGGTTGCTGAAACTGCTACTGCTACAGAGTTAGCATGTATCATCTTTGCAAGCACCTTAACCAGGGAATAAAGATCAGCACACACTAAGTGACTTCTGTCCATGCTGAAGACCTTATAAAGATGGGTGGGTGTGGGGTGGGGGTGGAAGTCACTGGGCTCCAGTCCCACAGTCCCACGCTCAGCAAGAAGCAGGATTATTACATAGAAAACAAATGTAATGGCAGACAATTCAATAAGGATTTTAGGGGCTTCGGGAGATAACAGCATTCCAGCTGGCAGGGGAGGGCTATGTGAGCAACAGAGCCATCTTCTGTCTGTTTTTACATCGTGCTTTTAGCGTTAGCACACCAAATCCACATATTTCTTTGTTTAAGAAAGCTTAGTGATGATTCTTTCTAGATAAACGACATATGAGAAAAAAAAACTCTCACCCTCTTCATGAACTCCACTTAAAGTGCCTTGTTTCAAAAACCATGCAGTAATCTTGTGGTTTTGATACTGTGAGTTTTTTTTTAATAAGGCCTTTTAATACAACAAGCTGATACCTACAGTATAATCACATGTGATCATTTGACCTCTTTTTTTTTTACTATACAAGTGCTGTGTGTTGTTGTCGACCTGTTTTCGTGGTAGACTGGTCCTGTATTGATGTGTGTTACATGCTTGAAACACTTAATTAAAAAGAGCCTATTCAGAAAAGCATTTAGTGCTGACTATCTCTATTATGAGCTGACCATTTCCATAAAACGTTGCAGGGAGGATCAAATAAAAGACAGCACTTAAAAAAAAATCAAAGGAGGAAGGATGAGAAGATGAACAGACACAGAAGGAGATAAACAGTGAATACAATGATCAGCCAACAAGTACAGGAGGAGACATGTGTTTAACCTCTGGCTGCCCAGTCACTGCAAAACCAGCTGTAGAGATTAATTGAATTTTGACTTCCTCTAGAAAATGGGTGACCTTGCCAGCTGCTCCGTATCAGACATGACACAACAGCTTAAGGAATTCTACAGTGACTATTCATATCAGCAAAGATCAAACATGTTGTAAAAATCTAATCACAGATGATTAAATTAGCTCTAATGACTCGCTTTATTGTGTACAGATCTACAGCAAGTGTCCAGTGTTTCATGTATTGTATTACAAATTGTGTTTGGATTGAAAGTTCCCTGTCACACCAGCATGACAGTCGAGTGCGGGTGGCAGGCGCGAGATGCTGACTGACAGTTATCACAAAACAATTCTCTCCACTGTTTCCAGTGATTCATATGTTCTTCTTGAGGGGGTGTTACAGTGCTAATTGTCAGAGATTCAACCTAGAGACAGAGAGCTAAATGGAAAGCCGCTGCCCGGCCTCTGGCAGATGATTCATTATGCCCCTTTTTTCTTTTTATCTTAGAGCACGATTCACAGCTCTGCTGCTGAGACGAGTGGTTCTGACTCCTACTTATCGCACAACAAGACAAGTAGAAAAGCTACTGAAATGAGGTTTTTTTAGTACTCCTGTAGCAAAACATCATTCCTATAGCGTTAACCTCTGTGTTTGTGTGGGCATGCTATGTGCATCACACAGTGATGGGTACAGCTTCCAGGCTAAGAAGCTAAAGCATAAAATCTCAAATGGATAGGTTTACAGTGGTCAGTATGTGGTGATTTCATAAAGCATCAGTGTATTGAGGTTGTTGCAGCAACAAAGTGAGAAGATCAGTCATGGAAAATCACAGAAGATGAAAGAAAGACACAGGAAGCAGTATAAATAAACAAAAGACCCCCAAAAAACCTTTCAGACCATATGTTTTTAAGGTATGCAAATGTAAATATTTATGTTAGGTTCATTTTTAATTACTAAAACTTTTGACTTAATGTGTTTTCAGACAGTGAGAGCTAAGTGCTAGAGCTACATCCAGTTCTACTAACAACCTGTACCAAATGCCACACAGCTCTGCTTTACATCTCATCCCGTAGCCAACTGCATGTATTTATATGTCACATTAACTTTCCGTTTCCTCTCTCGCTCTGCCTGTACCTTTCTGCAGGTAGCCCTGGCTCTGGAGCGCTATGTGATGAGCAGTCATCAGCCAAATCAACCTCCCCAGTGTTTGAGTGTTTGTTGTGTCCTTTAGCTTTTCTTTTCTGTTCTCTCTCCTCTATCCACTCACCCCAACCGGTCGAGGGAGACAGCTGCCCGTCAACAGCCGGGGTCTGTCGGAGGTTTCTTCTGTCGGAGTTTTTCCTCCCAACTGTCATCAAGTGCTCAAAGGGGATTTGTTGGGTTTCTCTCTATAACAGTATGAGGTCCAGACCTTACTGTGTAGAGTGCCCTGAGATAATTGTTGTTGTGAATTAGTGCTATACAAATAAAACTGATGTGAATTGAGTTGAATTCTATTTACTTATCCTCATCCTGCAACGCAAATCTGCCAGTAATTCCCCAGTTTAGACTTTAAACTAAAAGGCATTAAGCATTTCATTTCAGGGCTTCAAAAAACTGGAGCAGTCCTCCTACTGAAATTCATTTCATCTTACTTCACATCTCATTTTTATAAACTTGCATTCTACAGTATATTGAAAGGTCTTTCCCTGTCACTTCTTCTTTATATTGTCTTCCCTTGTCCCAGTCATTTCTGTTATCTTAGTGTTTTACCTTTTCTCCCTCCGGTTATTCTGTGAAGCTGTTTTAAAAAGCGCTATATGACATTGGCAGCTACCTTCTTCTCCTCTCAAAAGCATGACTGGCATCATGTTTACAGCAGCATCCTTTAATGTTTTTAAGACTCCAGGATTCTTCATTTTAAAAGAGGTTTGATACATTCCTGAAAAATAAACAATTCTCACACACACTGCTAATGAGTTGAAGCCTGCCACTTCATTACAGAGACACAAAGTTCTTTCCTTTACAACTTGCAGACCACACAGATCTAACAAACCCTTCCAGCCCACTGTCTTTTAAGACTCTATTGCATTGTGAACACACGATGCTTATATTTTATGATTTGCTTTCTTTAAAAACAGGACTGAGATTCTTCTGAAAACATGGCCTGTGACTCAGACAAAGTCCCTGACTTGTAATAGCAAGCAGGATGTATCTGCTGTGACATCTAACCATCAGAAGTAACATTTGTATTGACATAGTGACAGTGCATTTTTATGAATAAAGAAAACTTTAATTAAAAAAAATACTGCAATTCATGTGCTTTATAAAAGCACGGTATATTCATCATATTCAGGCAGAATCCAGTCAGATTCAGTGAATGTCCTCGTCCATGACATAGGTGCCATGAGGAGGAAATCAACTCTTCTTTGGAATGAATAATATGAAAATGTGAACAGAAACTAAATAAAACCCTCATACTCATCTTAATTACAAAGTAGCCACTTGTTCCTGAACCGTAGAAAGACGGATTTGGAAATAACTGAGATTTATTAGCACATTTATTTTTGTATGTGCCTCTTTTATGCTTTGTTATGAATAATCTTTTCAAATAATAAGCTTGCTTTCTCAACTTTTGCCAATATGCCTGCACTTTCTTAACAAAAGTCCTTAGCAGGTTGTAAAAAAAACTGCCCATAACAGAATAATGTTTTGTTATTGGCTATTACTAATCTCCCGTTAATCTCAGCTTTAGTTAAAATATGTTTGATTTGAGGTGGGATTTATGACCGATACTGCAACCAGTCACCAGGGCTGTACTTTAAAAAAGCTGAAGTATACAGTAGGAAAAGGCTCTGATCATGACTTGTCTCAGTTTTATGATTTCTATCAAAAAAAAGTACAGTACTCTATTGCTTTCAATGCAAAACGTTGATGCTATGTTGGACAGGCTTGAACACTTACAACACCTGGCATAACACAGTAGAAACAACAAGAGTTCAATAAATGCTGGTGTAGTGGTTTAAATATGTTACATGTTAATATGGATTATGTAATAGAATGGGGTTTATGGGTTCACGTTAAGTTCATGTCAGCTGAACAATGAGCTTATATAAGTTGGTCAAGATGTTTCCTGGGTCTGAGTACATCTCAGGGTGTTGTCTCCCAAAACTGGAGACAGGAAGCTAAGTTCAGAAATTGACGTAACAGCCTAAGGAAAGCTGTGGATAAAAGAATACGCCTGAAGGGGTTAGAAAAGGAAGAGAGGATGAAAATGCTACCGTGAAAAGCGTACCGTAGACCTGGCTGGGGGGCCGGGGGGTCGGGGGAACGAACTCAGGACTGACTGGACCCCTGACCAAGATTGACTGACTCTGTGACAATCTTCTTATTTAATACTTTATCTATCCCATTGCAGGAGGAGTGATTCTGTTCTCTGTTTCCTAACTACCAGATGGCTTAGTTAACGACTATTCTGTTCAGAATAACTGTAATATTAAATTATTACTTAAATTGGGATGATTTGTCTGAATGAATTTAGTCTGTATCACACTCTAGCCACGACACTGGCAAGAATGAAACAGACCTCCGCTCTCTTTACCACACACCAGTAACTTGCTGTTTTGCCCTGTAGACACAAATGGGTGTGTGCTCTGGATAGTTAAACAAATGCAGTGGACTCCCCCAAGTATGAACAACCTGTTGCTCAGGCAGGGCACTAAGAATATTGTACCCATGTGGGACAACCAGAGGTGCTGTTGTTATCAATTCAGTCACTTCTATGCACAGCGCTGGTGTTACATTTGACCCAGAAGCTCTGAAGCACATCGAGTATGTAGAACATTTTGTCCTGAAGCTTCGCATTGAGACTTTGTCCACCACTAGTGTACGACCAGTGACCCCAAAGTTTTTTTCATGAAAAAAAAGAAATCCTTTCAAAAACCAAGCATTAGCGTTTAGAGGCCATAGTTTGCCATTAAAGTTTAATGGTTGAGAGCAGATACTGAAATGTCACTGCTGGGAAAAAGCAAAGAGCCAAGCCCTTAGTTACCACCACTTTCCACAGAATGCTATTCCACAGAAGAGGCGATGGCCTTATTTAGAACAAAGCAGGGAGTGAGACAACTGATTGACTGAAAGAAACAGCAAGCTGAGGGTGTGGCACGCCTTCTCCATCCAGAGGGTGAGGAGGTGCAGGCTGACAAAGACATCAAATAAAAGACAGACGGCAAGACACAAAATTATCAACAGAGAGAAAGAGCACGTAGGGTCTTCTCAACTTCAAACACCCTCCCACAGCTAGTCAGTCACGATTCTGCAGTGGTCTTGTTTCTTCCAGCCCACTGAGCACTTACAGTGCATCCCTTTGCATCACATGTTGTTGCAGGTGTGGCCTTAGCTGCCAGGAAAAAACAACATTGCTGCAACAACCTCTCCTCTGACCTCTGGGACCCTCAAGTGGTGGCACCAGAGAGGCTGTCACAGAGAGAAGAGCTGCAAGACAGGAGTTCCCAGGCCCAATGCTGGAGGATAATCACACTCAGCTCCAGCTGATAAACCCCAGTGACAAAATGAACGCTTGTGGCATTTCAAACACCAGTGCAAATATTTTTCATTTAACCCATAATAACAGAAATTAGATTAAAGTCTTCTGCCATCATGCCTGTGCTGACTGGGCTGCCATAAGCAATAACCTGTTCAACTATTCCACCAGTTCTCTCTGCTGATGCCAGTTTGTAGCAACTATGGGAAAATTGGCTTATGTGGCTCAAGGGCTGAGGTGGGAACATGTTAAAGAAGATGGATTTGGCTTCCCAATAACCACTGGGATGTGGCAGTGGGGGATGTTTCAGAAGCTAGACAGGGGTCACCAAGTGAGATAGGACAGTCTTCTAACCAGAGGATGTTCTTTCTCAAGTTTATCAGACAGGGTGACAAAACATGACAGTCAGAGGCAGTCTGCTTTATCATCTTCCAGAATGAACTGATTAAATGAGTTTTCCTGATGGATGAACTCTGAGTGCTGCCAATGCTGCAGCTGAGATGTGGTCCAGCAGCCAGTATAATGTATGCTGGGTGGTGTTGGATATGGTATTAGTAGGAGATCTTTCTGGAGCATAGAGGGCACTGCCTATAGTGGCATCAGTAATTTCTGAAAGAGCTTTCAAAGGAATAAATATGTTAAACAAAGGCTAACTTGAAGCTAATTTCATCAGCGTTGTTGAGATGCCAAAGATGACCGGCTATACAGTATAATTTCAAATTCATGTGGAGCTCATCCTTGACTGCCTGACTCTGTATGATGTTAGTGTGCTGCCTATAAGATTGATGTTAAAAGCAATAGAATCTTGTACCACTATTTGAATATACTGACCTATAGCAGTCACATCCATCCTTCACTGGAAGAAGGTGAGTGGTGTGTCTTTGCACATTGTAGGCGTGTGTGTGCCTGTCTGCTCAGATGTACTGTAAGTTGTATCAAGCAGACTCTATGCTTACCTCTCTCTGTTGAATTTAAGTGAATGCAAGACAGCTGGCCGCCTCTGACGCAGATTCCACAAGTGTAGCGTGTCATCAGCACAGGCTGTGACCAGCGCCCCCTAAAGGATGACACAGAAGAAGTATAAGGATGGAAGCATTCTCAGGTCACAGGGGACACCTTATCTTATCCGATCTGTAGCGAAAACAAATTCCTTGTGTGTGTTTAACATACTTTGCCAAACAATGTGATTATTAAAATCTTTCAATTGAATCCATATCCTGTAGTTCTGAATGATTACACTGTGAAAGGTTAAGCAAAGGGCAAAACCAGAGTAAATTCTAAGAGTCCTGTAAGAGACACATGAAGAGCTGAATGTCAAAGCAATCTTGTGGAGAGAGAGGTGCATTAGTGCACATGTACAGTAAGAAATAAAATTGGTAAAATGAAACAAAGAGTGCATGGCTTAGCACAAGGCTAAGGAATTAACTAATAACAGACTAATGCTGTATTTACTCTACAGGCACGCATAATCGTCATATGAACATTGAATGAAAACTGTGAAAGGAAAATTAAAAATCATTTTCAAATGACGTCAACTGAATTCAGCCCTAGTTCTGAGGACAGCAAATGGTAATTACAGTGAAATTCCCAATGCAGCTTTGCTACCAGGGTGTCACTATAAAGACTGGAGCCCAGGGAGAATTAGCTTTAGATTACCAACTTAATTTTAGGATTAAAGACTGCACAGTGCAATGGAGGATGAAAACATTGCTTCCCACCGATTTACTCATCTACATAGCAAAAATATTTTTTCACTCATTTTAAAGCTGCAGTATGTAACTTTCAGCAAGTATTTGAGTTGTGAAAGAAAGTATGCTCAAAAACTTGTCTGAATGTGGAGAGGTGCTGTGGAAGTTTTCTGCAGCACAGACTCATTGAACAACATGGAGCAGAGTGGATTGATTTGGAGTTTCATGCTAGTACCACCTTAAGTTACATGCCGTACTGTAGCCTTAAGCAAAATAAAATTTTAAGAGTAAATGTGAAAGTAGAACAGAACAGAAGAACATTGTAAAGTACAGTGAGATGGACATTTGGAGGACTAAATGAAAAACACAGGAGCACAGTTATATTTTTTATTTTTAAGAATGATCATGAATTAAGGAGTTCTAGACCAACCACAGGGAGGAGCCAGACTGAGGCAGATGACACATTACCCTTGACGACGCATCCACTGGAAACTGTCGGTAAACAGTTGTGCTTTACACTTCAGTAGAGACAGACAAACAGGCTGGATACCTATAAACAAAAGCAACCTCTTCGTCACCACCTTAGTCTTAAGTCTTTTCTCTTTCAGAGGTAGACCACGATGTTTGAAAATATTACTTCTAATGAAGCACCAATAGCAACTTTATGTGGTTTGTCTTATGGTATTTTGGTGTCTTCTTCTTTTTCTAATGTGTGCCAAGCAGCAATTTGTTCAATACTGGCACCGGTGGAGTTCACAGCTGTCTCCTGACTGTTTCTGGGAGACGTAGGCTACAAGACCAGGATACAATGGCCACACAAAACAAAGGCTGATGACCACAACGCAGCCGCAACTAAAGAGTTAGCTGTTAGCTGTTAACCTAACACGCTGTGGTTAATACATAATGGCAGTGGATGACAAACTGTGGGCAAAGCTGAAATGATTGCTTCTATGCAAGTGTTTGCTTGTGTATCACCTGTTTTGACTCACAAATCTCACTCGCTGGTCAGCTGATAAAATGGCCCCAGTCCTTACAAACTGAGAACCCAATAAGGAACTCAGAATTTTTCATACACTCTGCTTTTAACTGGTACGTGGAGGGAAACACTGGCACTGTCAAGCCCTGCATTCAGAAGCACTTTCAGAAACCCACCTATGTGTTTCATGTTGTTCATTCATTTTACTTTGTTTGATGAAAAAAAGATTATAATCAAAGTCTATTATTAGCATTGTTGGTTAGAGTTTTCATCTGTGACTGATTCCCTTTACCTCACTCCTACCAGAAGTTTAATTATTTGAGCATATTTGTTGAATGCCTTCTTTCTATACATAGAATAAAATATGCTGCTGCTTATCCATGTCAAATTTGACTGACACATTCAGGAAATCAGAATGTCTGATATGGGATATGATTTTGTTTTCATAATCTTAGCATACAAAGAGCTTCCTTTCAATTTCACTCTTCTCAATCTTGTTTTGTAAAATAATTGCACCCTGATAGGATTAAAAGCCTTTTACATTGGTTGACTTATTACTTTTCCATTAATATCTGCTCCATTTTGCCCAATTTGTAAACATTCATGTGAATATATTCTGTCTTTTGGGTTGGTCTCGCCATTTCTGGATGCACTATCTTATATAAATCTCATTTGAATAACTATGTCTCTGTGCGTGTTATGTTTTTTGATTATTTAGCTCTTAAATTTTGGTTTGATCAGATTTTCATATCTTTTTTTGTGATCTAATTTGGGGTTGATGATACACTTGACATTATTTTGTGTGTATTTAGGGTGGCATACAGTGTGTTTATTGCCATGATATGCTTTAGTGCAACTCAGATTTATTCAGACATCCCATTTTTCAAGTTATTTCCTTACATGTTACTACAGCTTTTCGACTTACTGTCTGTGTTAACACTAGAAATGTATTTCTTGATTTGTGAAGGAAATCTAGCAGAATACCAGTAATAGACTGGATTACACGATACAAAATAATGAAAGTCATTTAATGACTTTATCAGCTGTGTGCTAGCTGGTTGGAGTTAATATAATACATGTAGAGTTGAGACACTTAAATCTAACTCAGCTGAGAGGTGATGTTATGAACCTAAACAGAGTCTTATGCAACATAGATTTGTTTGTATTACTCAGTATCACTTTATCAGCTGCAGTGAGCTATTTTTCCAAACTAAAGTCATTTTGGGTGACGACAAAAATTATGAGCTGTGTAATGACTCTGATCTTTAAAACTGTTTTATTCCTTAGTGATGAGCAAAGTTACACAATCTCTGTTTCAAGAACTTCTGACAAAAAGGAGCTTTATAAAGTTTCCCCTGAACCTTATTTCTCTGCTGCAGTTAAAAAATTATAATGCAAATCAATGTACCCGTTCAGGGGACTGAGAAGCTTGAAGGCTCCTTAAATATATTTCCAACATTGGTCTCTGTAGCTGTGTACAGATGGGTGACAAATGAAAGAAAAACCTGAATAAATGTGTTTGAATGATTTGATGAGTATGAAAATGATATGAATCATATGCTATATCTTTCACAGTCATCAGATCTCAAACCATTTGAACACCTATGGGAGATGTTGGAGCAACGTGTCAGACAGCGTCTCCACCACCATCATCAAAACACCACATGAGAGAAAATCTGGTGTTCATTCCTCCAGTAGAGTTCAGAGACTCGGAGAATCATTGCCAAGGAGCGCTGAAGCTGTTCTGGAGGCACATGGTGGCCCAGCACCTCACTGAGACACTTTATGCTGGATTTTCCTTTCATTTGTCAACTGTATCTCATTATGCAGCAGATGGCAAAAAAAACTATTTCTATTCCCCGAGAATAGGGGATTACATTTCTATTGATCAATTTTCATATAGTAATATTCCACATTCTTTGTGATGTTTGCTTATCAGTATATTCTGTCTGACATGTAGAGTGTAAAGGCCAATCCAGCCAGAATCTACAAAACAAGTTCGGTGTAAACAATTTTTAAATACAAAACTATGAGCGTGGTTAGAAATGTACATTTTTCACAGTGCTCCTGCTGACCCATTCTTCAATCTCACTGTGACACAATAGTCCTTTTTACCTTTTGCTTCCCTAAGCAGTCTTCCCTCTTCCCCCTCCATCCCTCACCCACCATTTGACATCAGTCTACAGCAGCACTCTAACCTTCTTTGGATGTATTATTCTTCAAGAAAAATAACGAATTAAGAATAGGCAAACAAACATGTTAATTATCCCATTCATACTTTCCAGCAACACAGTGACAGGAAAAAAAATCTCATAAAATAGCGAGAGAGAGGCTTATTAGGATAACATGATACTGTATGAAATTAAGACTACATAATGAAACAGTTGACAGCTAGATGTGTTGAATGGCATGGCTTTTGTCTGATATAGAGGGGAAAAAAGTACTCTCAGTACAAAGTAAATCTCATCATTCACAGGTGCCTGCAAGAAGTGGCCTCTTTTGTGGGTTCATATGTCTAATAGGAATGTGTCATTACACCTCACTGAATGTTAAGAGGCCAGCCTCAATATGCAAGCCAGTCATTATCGGGGCAGCCGACAGCCCACATGCCGAATCCCAAAGAGAGCACTGACGTACAGCGCTGCTATTAGTCATCCTGTAAAACAGTGGGAAGGCCTAGAGTGGTCAGTGTGAGGGTACGTTAATATAAGGGAGACCACACACAGCATGTAAGGAAGTTCTGCCAAGAAAATAAGAACAAACAAGACTGTGACAATGGCACACAGACATACAGTACAACGAACAGCCCTCTTCAGGCCAATTCACTTCCATTTGTGTCAGATACGTCACAAGTAGGTCAATGAGTGACGGAGAAGTAGGCTGAAACAGCCAGTGGGCTTATAAAGAAATAGAGTGGCTAAAGAAAAAAGAGCAGAGATGCAGGAAGAGTGCGTAGATTAGAGCAGAATAAAGGACAAGCAAGAAAGAGAAACACAAAGAGAGTGAGAGTGTTGTGTTCTAGACCTGTGTGACCTGGTTTCTGCTTTTTAACTAACATGTGGGCCCTCTTTTCTCTAATATACCAGTATTCTGTTAGTAAACAGCATATGACATCAAACTGCAGCATACTGACAAAGCTGCTGTTAATGTCCGAAACGCATTGACGTGACGTAGAGCGCTGCCGTGTGTCTGCCCACACAGTCCTGGTCTAACTGCAGAAAAGCAGAAGTGAGGGGGGAATGGTTTTAAATGTAGAGAGAAAATAATTCTGTGCTCTTGAATAGCAATGATTCCTAAAAAAAATGTACATCTCCAGTACTTTCCCAGAATTGAATTTCTTTAAGTCCATCAGATGAACTGAAAAGCAACAGTCTACAGCCAGACAGTAGTCTGAATTCAAATCCTTTATTTGTGTAGTCACAGGACATGGTAGTCTAGGTGCACCAATGAGCTCCCATTTTCAAGATTACATTTCTCTGACGTCACCTCTCATTTCAAGCAACAGCATTTCCTTTACACACACACACTGGTTTCCAACAGGTGAACTAATATCACTTCTACTCATACAACTTTATTGGTTGACATCCTTGTCCTCAGTGATCTTAATTTCTGGCTAATGTGCCCTTATGAAAATGGACAACATAAAGCCTCAGTCACAAGTTTTAATATGGTATTTGTTTGACTGTAACAATGTCAATCTGCAAATCTGCAGAATTTGCTTAGCAGTTAAGTTTTAACTGCTTTTTTTTATATTTGACCCATTTGCTCAAATTAATTTCAGGTCTCAGATATTAGAAGAAACGATCTCAGTGCATGTTGAAAGAGCCTAGGGTTGTTTTATCCTTTGCTTATCTCTTAAAATGATCACCAAATCTCATACAGTAAGAAAATGACAATGAATTTATGCTACTAATGAGTAAAGTCTGTGGAGAAGATCACCAGGACTCCACTGCCCTCTCTGCAGAGCATTTACCACCGCAGGGTGCATAGGAAAGCTGCCTCCATCCTCAAGGACCCCACCCACCCCCAGCACAGACTGTTCATACCCCTACCCTCCGGTCGGAGGCTCAGAAGTGTCAAATGCAGGACCTCTAGACTGAAAAACTCTTTCTTTCCCTCTGCCATCAGACTCCTAAACAGCTGACTCAGGATCTACCTCATGTAATTCCATCTGTACTGTTTACATACTCTGTTTGCACATGCATAATTGCACACTCACTGCTGAATATTTGCACTTCAGGGCTCCCACATAGTGATTATATTCTCTCTACATTATATTGTGTTTCTGTTGTATTTTTATTGTGCTTCTTTCACTTGCTGCTTTAAAGTGCCTTTGATTTGTGTTACTACCTATTTAGATTTGTTATTGCTCATCTACTTTATAGTTTTACTTGTATTTTGTGGCATTCATGTGGACGGAAAAGTAAAAATTTCATCGTACAGGGAAACATGTTTCCTAACTGTGCATATGACAAATAAACACTTTGACCTTTGTTGTCTGGGTGGCCACAGAGTTGTCATTCAACTCAAACAGAAAAAAGAGCCATGCTGTTTAACTGGCTGATTGTTATCATATGATGATCAGCAAACCCTAAAAGGCTCCCTACACAGATGAGCACTTTGGATCAAAGGTTGGTACCATGTGATTATGATGATAACTAGGTTAAAAGAATAATTCTGATCCAATTGATTTAAGGTGTTGCTGTGACTTCAGGCCTTGATAGTGGGACAAGATCAGAGTGAAGAAAGCATAATGGAGTCTGTCTTACCTCATTGATGAGAAACTGCAGTTGAAGAACAGCTGATCCACTCTCATGCTGACAGTAGCAGTCCACCCCAGGTCGTCCCAGTCTGATGATATCACAGTCAAGGAAGTGTGAACAGTACTACACTTAAATTATATGACCTTTAAAGTTGTACTACAGGGATCAGACACAGAGTAAAAGAACTAAAATATGTTTTTCAAATGCTACAGTATATTGTAGTTTGAATGGGTCTGATTCTTTGTCCTGGTTCTTTTTGTGTTACTAGTTTATCAGTGTTTCAGTGTGAGAGCTGATATGCGCCTATTTTGTGAGGATGCACCTGCCTCAGTTGTGGTAGAAGCATATGTAGACAAACTGGGCTAGAGCCTGTCCAGTGAATACAGTAGTTCACATAAAGTAAACTAATAAGACACTGTAAAATCCAATGTTACTGTGCATTCAAAAGCTGATAGATGGCAATTAAAACCACTGGGGTGATCGTTATAGATTATATTTTATCTGCCAAGCAGGTTTTACTGTTGCTCTTTTTCTCCAACAATCAGAGACACAGACTTTTACTTCCTTCCAACCAATAGCAGGACGACATTTACTTCAGTGAATCGTTATTTCAGGGACAGGTTTTTATGGCAAAACTTATGACTGCATGTGTGTATGAACTGCTAAACCCTCCAGAGACTTCTGTCCACCACACAGTGGCTACCCACGACACCTTGCAACCAGCTCAGGACGAGATGATTGTATAACAGCCACAATCAAATATTTTGTTTTGTTATCTGACAGTGTAAAAATGGAACAACCTGTCAGTGAGAACAGAATATGTGCTCAGATTTAATGAAACACACTATGAGTAATGGAGAGTAGGAGGCTAAAGACCTGGTTTGACCTGCTAAAGAGAAACCAGCTGAGAGAGGAGGAAGAAAATAAATTCACTTGTTCTTCTCTTATGTTGGCATTTTGATGCGGACACAGACGTGTGAAGACATTTTCACATGTTTTCAAAGTGTGGTACATCAAAAGTGACATTCGTTTGTTTTAAATCAGTAAAATTCATATTGTAAGTCCAATGTATGCACTTGTCATTAATTAGAAAAACAAAGATAAATGCACATAAAGTTTGGATTTCAAATAAAACTAGTCATTTTCTGCAATGTCCTACATGGAGCAGAAATGCTAGAGGTCTCAGATGAAAATCCAAACAGTATGCAGAGTGAACACATCTCATTTCAGCGTCACAGTGGGCTCTGAAACCAACAATGCAGAAACATCCAGACTGTTTTGCTAGACAGATTTATCACATCTATAGCAGCAGCAGCAATGGACTCTGATACGGGAACTGTCTGACCAGGCTGTAGATCACAGGTGCACTGGGCAGGAAAGACACAGACAGGTCACGATTCAAAATGCTGCTCATGACCCAAACCAAAAGTGAAGTTTTAGTCTTGTTTCAAAACCTTTGGAAAGCTTTGTTAGTTTGCCAGTTTTTTGCTTGAAGTTAGTTTTATATCTCCTCGGTACATTTGTGTGACTTCATTCTCATAATTTGTAGATACGCTGCTTTTCCTACAACATTAGTAAGTTCCACTGTTACTTTTATTTACTCAAATTAAAGGTGTGATGAGACACCATGACAGACAACAGACAATGTTACCTTGATAAACTCAGACAGCTGTTCAGTGTGTGCGCCTGTGCTTGTTGATTGCACTCTGTATGCACACTGTAAAAAATAGCAACAAAAAAATAGTTTTACCAAATGTTTTACTGTATTTCCAATATACATGAAAATGGTAATAAAATTACAAAAATATACTGTGAAATTTATATATCAAAATAAAAATAATAGGAAAATCCAGCATAAAGGCAAAATGCCTGGCTTTATATTTATATACATGTACAAATATCATTTAAATTAAAAAACTATTTAAAATTACTGCATTTTTAGAGGGTAATTATTTTCAATAATTTTATAGAAATGTTCTTGCACTCCAGATGCCAGAATAGTACAGTTTTTATCTTTATTTTTTACAGTGTACAGCACGTGTTATTAAGTGCAAGCACTGAACATCTGCGACTCAGACAAGAATGTCTAATATAATGGAGTAAGAGGAACCAGGACACACACTCACAAACATTTTGTGGTATTCCTATCATGCATTTAGTCTATACTGTACATGTATAAAGGTGTGAAAAAAATAGTTTCCTGGAATGAATATTCAAATGAACTTATAAGGGTAACATCAGCAGACCGGCACTGTGGTCATTGGTTCTAGCATGAATTAAAATGTAATGACCATCGCTGAATCAGTCTCTCAAGTAAAAATACAAAGCTGGTGTGTGTGTGTGTGAGAGAGATTCAAAGGCTGACTTGAGAGAGAATAGTTGGCGACAGACTGAAATCATCTCTCTGTCTGTCTGCAGCATTCTCTTCTTGACAGAAGAGTCTTTGTACACGTCTCATTCAAATTCAGATCACGCTCGGGACCGTATCAAAAAGATGCTATCAAAACGCAAAGCTGATGTGAAGGTGAAGTCGCCTAGATCCGTACAGGAGACAAACACTGTACTGCTGCCAAATGATGGGAGAGAATGCCAGTGAGAAACTGATGGACATGTTCTGTTGTATTTGGTGATTTCTGCTTGGAAAACCAGTAAGTGACAACAAATAAATGTCGTGAATGTAAATGAAGACATGTTGTTTGGCATGCACAGTTGCCTCTGGGACAGTAGATCTATAGGGTCTTATTCCCACAAAACAATTTAAACATTATGTGCATGCATCCTAAAAGACAACACAACGATGGTGATGCCCCTACAGCGGTGAGCTCTGAAATGAAAGAAAGGGTGGAAACAGATTTATTGTCATTAGAAATGTTCAATAGCTTGTTGATGTAAGTGATGTGAGGAGACACCAGTCATGCTCAGTGTTCTGGATCCTCATCTTTATCCTCCTGTTGGTGGAGGACACAGTCAGAAACATGAAATGTGAGATTATGTTCTGCTTCATAGTCCAAGCAATCGGCAAAATCAGTTACAGCAGGTATATTCACATTTAACCAACAGCTCTTGTTATCTGACACAGTTGGCTGAAAGCTCTGATCTGTGTACTGTACCATATAATCACCTATCATTGTTTTTGCTGCATGTTTCATTTTTGTTTAGTACTACAGTTACTGTAGCACTACCGAAACTAAGCGAAGTGGGTTCTAAATGTACCAAACGTAAACACCAGTCACAGCATGTTTAAGAAATAGAAACAGAAACAGACTCTCAATGAGATATAGTAAGAGCATGGCGGTAATGTTTGCACTTGCTGCCCTAAGGTAATAATGTAATACCCGCATAGTTGCATTGTTAAAATAACTATTTTCAATAAATTATCGCTGATTTACCCTGCTGTGGATAAACAGCAGGTTAAAAATTAGGTTTGAAACATGGATTTAGATCTGCACACCATAGGCTCTAATCACAGCCATGTATTTATCTCAGCAGGTACTGTATAACAACACGTACCCTCAATTGCTAGAAATGATGGCTTTTTTTGTTTTGTTTATTCGTTTTGCAGTAGCAACACACAAACACAACAAAGAAAGGGATGGAGAGGGGAGTACTTTTATTTTGTGTTGCTGTGCAGGGGGCTGAAATTGACCTTACCCTTAAATTCTTCAAGCCAGTATGGATATAGGTCGCCCAGATACTGTCAGTGGTAACACTAGGCTCTTTTATACATGATGTCTGAGGAACACAGACCATAAGTAAGCATGACCAGCTGGCAGTCCTCTAGCTCTAGTCAACATACAGTATCTGGCGACACATAAGGACAAAGCAGGGAACAAATCTAACTGTAACTCACAATGCAATGCTTCATTCAGCTGTGAAGCAAAAAGAACTAATGAAATGTGAGTTAAAAGAAGAGCAAATAATCAAGTAAAAGCCAAGATCTTTGCATGGTATAAACTGTTGGTCGAATAAGCAAATTCAGGACTGACAGACATTATTCATGAGCAGAGTCAATTCACTGTTGGTTTTATTCTCTGTGTGGGGAGTGTTGAAAACACTGGCAATACAGAAAATGTCCGGCCTCATCCTATAACTTCCAACTGGTGAATCTTGCATAGTTTTGTAAATCCCTCAAAGGTTTGTCAACAACATGAGCCTGGATTAAGAGTTAACACTGGATTAATGTTGGATTAACCTTTCCTGAACTCTGATAGGTGCATCCAGTTATTTCTGTCAGAGCTGTTCTCTACTGTCCAATCTCTGTATTTCTGTCTAATCTCCATTATTTTGTATTTACTGCATGAACAGTGAACATAGACACATAGCATTTTGATGCTTTACTAATAATACTCTATTATTTTATATTTCATGTATTATGCCCATTTTGGCTTTGTAGAATCCATGTTATTTGTGAGATTTTGGGTGAGGTGATACTGTGTGAAGCCACTCTTAACCTTCTCATAAAATATAATTAGCATCCACTTAGCCATTACCAGCTCCCATTACAGCTGAGTGGTGAAGTCAAAGTGGAAGTGCTTTAAGGTGGAGTTCTTTTATTGGTGGGAAGAGACTGGGTTTCTTTTACTGAGGTGTCTTAGAGGTACTTTTGTGGCTTGTTGGTCCATTAAGGATGTGCATTAGCAGGCCTTAAAGAAAATGCTGTTTTGGCTCATTTGTTTGACTGACAGGTGCCCAGACCAGTTGAATCTTGATTAAAGCCATGCAATTCCTCAAGATGACACAACCACCTCCACCACCACCACTACCAATCCATACTCAAAATCTGCCATCATCTTATGAATCACAATTATCCAATCCTCTATCCATTTCCTTTTCTCTTTCACTCTCCCTGTTTTTGTGTGGGTACTATACGAGTGCAAAGGGAGATGTATAATAACTGTTTTGTTAGCACTTAATAAAGCTGGTGGCACATTCGGGACACAGCTGGGCAATTTATGTTTGAGTATAAACATCTCGCAGCAGAGAGGATTCAGAAGAGGTGTCTGTGTGTTTGTGTGGGTGGTTGACTGTCTATGTTGGTACATACTGTATACAGCTCTGTAAACTGGTCCTTGACATTCTTGTTTTATT